TTTGGATGTGTGTTTGAGAGTGTGTGTTGTGCCAGTCAGGAGTCATGTGACCGACGACAGGTGAACACGTCTCTGCCTCTCATACAGCTGATCACACTGATCCCAGTACAAACTGATCTAAAGTCAGCATGAAAGTGAAGTTGCACTAGTGTTTTCTCCTCTATTGTGTCGTATATCGAGTGAAACGCTTCAGAAACAAGAACAAATGTGGGCGGGGCTTGATCTGTGGGGAGTTGATTGGATGGTTGTGGTTTGCTATTGGCTGAGCTCATGTGATTGACAGGTTATAGCCCCGCCCTCACGCCGGTAAACAGAAAACACGGATTGTTGTGTGGGAATGTTGTGCATGAATATGTAGTTGTGGAAATAAAATGTGCAAATGTGCTGAAAATTAAGCCGTCACCCATCACCAGCCCCTCATTTAATTATATTATTTCACAATATTAAACAGATATAAAGCAAATATGTATATAAGCAGAACATACACATGTGTTTAACTGATATTCACTTCTGCCATTTAACATTCATCAACACGATCAAGATGTGAAATAATACTATTTCCAGCAAACAAAAACATTTTGGCAAGGTTATGAACAAACACACTTCCAGTAACGTTAATAAAACGTTCTTTCAAAGTTATCTGGTTTTTAATAATGTTCTTAAAACATTAGCACAAAAATGTTACTTAATCACTGCTTATTTTTTCTGAAACGTTTTATTTGGATGTTTATTTTACACTATGTGTTTCAGAACGCTCAAAAGAGACGTTCCCATAATGTCTGAAGAATTATTCAATGTTCACTTGATGTTCACATAAACAAGATTCTTTTGAAACATTTTAAAAAAAATTACGTTTTGAACGTTCAGAGAACATTCAGAAATAAAGTTTTCATAGCCTAACTTAATGGGAACATTAGCTAAATGTTTTGTTAGTTGTTTTTTGTTGTGCTCGTCTGTAATTGGTTAAACCGATGTGTTACAGCACTCCCTGATCCAGTTAAACCGGTTCACATCGGGATAGATTAAGACTAAGAGCTGCGTCTCTTCTCGCTAATGCTCAGCTAAGAGTTAAAAACAAACTGTGTTCATACAGACACAAGTTATGCAACATGTAGCCCAGAGGAAAGGTCAGAGGTCACTGCAGTTTCTGGAGAGATGTGCTGAACAGTGTGTGTTTATGCTAATGACTAGCGATGTTCATTTCTAGATTTACCTCAGAAGATGTTCATGAAAGTCTCATGCATGAATACTGGACATGAACGGCCTTTCAATTCTAATATATAACTCTTATTTTGATACCTGAGTATTATAAACAACCATTTGATGCATATTGTATGTATCTTACACAGTGAAAACAATTTATTTGAATAAAACTCCAGAATCAGATGACATGGTGAATATGGTTGCTAATGAATAGGACGCTAATTTTTATATAAAATTGGTTGGATATTGACTCATAACTTCAATAGCTTTTGACTTTACTAAGATTTCCCCCTTAAATAGGCAAGAATGAACCAGGTGTTCTTCATGATTCACATTTTTGCCGAAAACAAATCACTTGAATGCAACAATCCAACACAGTCTTATGAAAGTGCGTATCTATACCACGAATGTCATTTCTCGTGCCATTTATACGCCAAAAATGGTTTTTGCGTGCATATGCTACGCACTGAAAACCCCTTGACAAGGTTTAGGGGGAGGGGGTGGGGAGTGCATGCGTATTATACGCCATAAAGTGCGTATCATATGCACGCGAAAACTGCGTATCATATAGACGCAAAAACTATTTTTGGCGTATAAATGGCACGAGAAATAACATTCGTTGTATAGATACGCACTTTCATGAGATCGGGCTGAACAAACTCATGATTACGACTTCAGATGTGGGACATTTCCAACCGCAGACTAAGTGTCATTAGCTGTATATAAACTCATAGATGTGTTTGAATACGTGTCGAATAAACAAACACACATGAGAACATTACAGCATATGTTAATGAGCAGATTACGTAATAACTAAATGACGGTCAGGACAGCCAATCAGGATTGTGGATTAGAGCTGCTTAATCTTGAATTAGTAAAGGTCAGATATCACCGTGTGTTTAGGATCAGGATCAGGATCAGGTGTGTGTTCCTCAGAATAGCTGCTGGTTTTTATAGCAGCTTAACTTAACCGTCTCCAGAGCGTCGGCGCACTGAAGCGTTTTTTTATTTATTTAGTTCAAATATACTATCAGATTTAATGTTATACCTTGACAAACTATACATCATTAAAAAGATATAAGACTCAAGATTCAGTATTTGACCACTATTGTATTCTGAGAAACTTATAGTGACAGTTATGTCTTAATTTGTGTCAGGAGTTATGAAATTAAAAAACGAGTCGTTACCTTTAATATGAATTATGAGCCTCAGCCGGTCTCATTCAGAAAAAAACTCCCGTGCGATCGTCATGACAGCGCTTGACAAAACAACGTCCCTCAGGGCTTTTAGCTCAAACATGTGCAGATTTGGAGAAATATTGATAGATTCTCATAGCTTTACATTAGACTTCTATAGACAGGAATAATATTTATTGAATTTATACCCAAATGCGTCGATGTAATCATTTTGAGCGCTGTATACTCTGTACTGTGTTATCAATTCATCCTGAAAGTGAGGGCGCTGTTTGAACAGAAGTCCATAATATATGGATCACATGAAGAAGAGCCATAATCATGTGACATTCAGGAAGTCCTGCCACAACAAAGCTATCCGAGATCGCTGTAAAGTGCAGATAAAGATGTTTTGAAGACAATAAACATGATTGCAATGATATTTGATTTACCTGTGTTCTTCGAGTCATGTCAGGTATTTTCATAATAATTGATTATATGTATAATGTAATGCTAATCGAGATAGACTTTCAAATTGTGCAGAATACAATAAAATAATATATTTTCTATCTGATTTTTTTATCTGAAGCCAAATCAGATTACAGAAAGTTATTTAAAACACTCGACTTGCGCTATAAAGTAAGTTTGGAGAACAAACATAGTTTTATTCTCATAAATTGTCGTGTATTGATGGTGTGCTAAGCTAACATGCTAGCTAGTACTGAGCACCTGCTACCTTACTTCGGTGTAATTTTTATGATTTTTTTCTAAATAAGAATGCTTACTGAAATGTTTCGTTTTTCAAAAAGGGCATTTGATACAGTTTCACTGTGAAGTGAGAACTTTTATAAAATAAATGAGGGATTGAAACAGTGTGAATTGCTAGTCGTTAGTGATTATAATGCAGACAAAAGAAAAGCATATTTAGAGCAATAAACTGGCTGGAGAGGTGTGAATATGTGCAGGGGAGACTGAGACTGAATGGGGCTCGTTTTTGCATCACAAAACAATAGAGGCAATAGACTGAATAGATGCTTATAAGAAAACAATAAACACCAGTCTAATCAAAATAAAGTCATATGACATGATCTTGAAAAACATTGAACTAAATACAGAGTTTTAGACTTATCATCTTCAAATTTTAAATATAACATGGCCAGACATGTGGCTTTAGCTGCAGTGCATTTCTAGATTGCTACAATGCCAACTTCAATTTTATTTTCATGAAGATGTTTCATAAAAATAAATGTATAATAACTTTACAAAACTTTGAAGCTATTTATAACTATTTTTTTCATTATGATAATAATTAATTCTACATTTACAATAAACTTCCAGGTGTCAGCTTTCAAATGAGATCTTACTTGTGCTTTTAGTACAAAGGGTTCATGAACTGTATCTGTTTCAGTTTGGGAATGCCATATCTGGGGATTTTTCAAAAATGGGCTTGAAGCTTAACAGGTTAAGCTAAAAGCAGATGTGAGCGTTGAAATCATCTTTACACCAGCAGTCGCAGGTTAGAGAAGAGACTTGAAGAGCCTGACCTGAGATCAGAAACATGAACTCACAAGTCTGAGTTTGCGTTGGTTGACAAGAAGCATTTAATGCTATTTAATCATTAAGTTGAACAGGCACAGCATCAAAATAAAAATGATTTATTTTTAGATTTAGATCAAATTTGCTAACAATTCATTTGATTGGTTATGAAGTATTTAATATGGAAAATAAGAATGAACGATGCGGCATACAGGGAACGTTCTCTCAAAGTTATGAACAAACTTTCTCAGTAATGTGTTCAAAGTTATCTGGTCTTTAATAATGTTCTCAAAACATTAGCACAAAAGTTGTTAAGAGAACATTCACAAGTAACGTAATGTTTGGAAAATGATAATGTAACGTTCCCATAACGTTTGTAAAACATTTAAACTTTCAGAGAACATGCAGAAAATGTTTTCATAACCTAATAGGAACGTTAGCACAACGTTCTTCTAATATATTTTGTCAGCTGGAGATGTGTTGATAATATCAAAAATTAGATAAGAACTGACGATAAAGAAAGTCTTAATCGACTAATGAGCATAAAGATGTTTGAACACACATCCCAGCTGGCATTCGACTGACAATAAACGTTTAAATGTGGTTGAAATAATGTCAGTTTATGAAAAAACATGAATTCAACGTTAAAACAACATTGAACACCAAATGAAGTTGTGTTGTTGACTCACTACGGATTCAACATAGAAATATAAAAAAATTTGAGTTGTACGTCAAATCAACATTATTTTTACAACCATGACTTTTAAACATTTTGTTGAAATATATCAGTAGAAAAATAACGTTGTTCCAAAATCCATTTTGCAATCTGATTAGCAAAATCTAAACAAAATTCAACCGTTATCCAACACTGGAACCTGACATTGATTCAACAGTGACTGGGATTCATCATATTTCAGCATATCTGGTGTTTATGTCTGTGTCAAACTGCAGATGTTCTGAATAAACTATGACTGTTACCACACGCGTGTCCTCCGCTGTAAGAGCCTGAAGTCCTTAAAATACTCCGTGTCAATCTCCTGATCCCTCTATCTGCTTCTGTTGGAGGCGTTTGAGGATCAGAAGATTAGTCGAGCGCTATAAAAGAGTCCGGCAGAAACACTGGACACGAGCTGAAGCGACACATCGCAGAAGAGAAGCGAGAGCACCAGCAGAAGAGCCCGAGACTCCAGCACAGGTAAGAGACCCGCCTCACCTGAGACACAACAGACCCAACATAAAAACAAAGAGAGAAAGACTTGGTTACACTTTATTTCTAACTATAAGTAACTTTGCAACTACATCAGCTAACTCTCATTAGAGTATTAGTAGACTGGTTAGTGTTCGGGTTAAGAGAATAAGTTGACTTGTAGTGGCCAAGTTACTTATAGTCAGTAGAATATCTGTTGAGGAGCATCACAATGAAGAGTTAGCATATATCAAGCATGCCCTCGACGGTTTGAGAGTTAGTTGACATGTAGTTGCAAAGTTACATATAGTTAGTAGAATGACTAAAGTGGACTATCGAAATAAAGTGTTAGCAAAGACTTTCATGGACTGATAAAGAACAGACAGATTTAGTGATGGAGAGGAAATAAATAAAAAGGAAAAGCAGAAGCAAAATTACATACCTGGATATTCAGTTGAACATTACATTCAGCTTTCATTACAGACTCAAAATGTACAGTAGACATTCAACAGCGAATGAGAGCGCCGCATCTCCTCTACGAGATTAGCACGATTATGTAAAGAGCTTATCATTCACACTGTCCGTATATATCACAAGGAAAACAGATGTTGTGTAACCAGCAGATTAGGATTAACACAATCCCAAAATGAGAAGATTAACAGCTAACCTGTTGAGGGCATCAGTAAAGGGGACGATATAGACACTTTTTAAAGTGCAGCTGTGTATATTTCAGTGAGAGAGAGGAATGGACGCCCCAGCACCCGTTGAGAAGAGAGGGCCGCCAAAGTTCAAGCAGAGGACCACTCGCACCTTCAAGAGCAAGGCTCCTAAACCTGGCCAGAAAGGCTTCGGAGACGACATCCCTGGGATGGAGGGTCTCGGCACAGGTAAAGCGTCGCATTTCAGTCGCCTTCATCACGCAAATATTGTTTCAGTGTTTTGAATGAGCCTGACCACCTTCTCTCTCTGGGTTTCAACAGACATCACTGTGGTTTGCCCCTGGGAAGCTTTCGGTGACATGGAGCTCAGCGATCTGGCCAAATACGGCATTTTGTAGAAACTTTCCTCCTGATCACGTAATATTACTCACAGCAAGACTGAACCAGCCACGGACGCTTCAGCCCAACACACAATGAGGAAATGACATGATTCACACTGTTTTTGGAGGGAAATAAGGACAAATGTCACAGTGACTCTTGAATCGATCTCAGAGCTGCAACATCACGCTATGATCATCTCTCTCCTAAATGTGGTAAAATACAGAACTATACAAATCGACTTTATTTTTTTTTTGAAGTGTACATGTGATTGTGTCTGTGTCAGAATCAAAACCCTCGATTTGGCAGTAGAACACAATAAAAAATGTATTTTCCCAAATTTGTGTAGACTGTTCTCTTTCACAACTGATAGATAATCTATAAACTGGGTCCATTTTGAAACAAGTTCATTTCACTTTGGTCAAATATGAACCTCTAAAGTCTCAGAGTGTAAAAACATTGGTCATATTAGGCATCGGCACTAACAAAATACAATCTGAGAAATATTGGTATTAATTCAGATAAATACCTTTAATACTGGCTTTATATAAAAATACTAATTTGCTTTTTGTAGGATTTTTGCTGGAGCTCATGAACAGTTTCTAAAGTTGTACATGACTGTAAGGTGCAGCGTTTTATTTGTTTTTATTTTTATTTTTCCACACCACATGTCAATTATTGGTAAAAACACGATTACTGCAACACTTTCAACTTATTCCAGTTCTAATGTTTTTAACTCATGTCGCGATCTCTGGATTCGGTGCGATTTTACTTTAACTTCACTACATATTTCAATCAAAAAAATCTTTAAAATAACATGCATTACGACGTTGAGTTTACGTGCTGGTAAGTCGAAGAAGAAATACAACTAGTTTTCTTTAAATATTCCGGTTTTCGAGTTTTCTTTCTACAAGGAGACTGACAAAAACACTTGGGGGGAAAATCTCATTATGATTTTTTTAGTTATCTCTAGTTCACGTTGGCCACAATTATTGCAACATACTTTTCTCGAGATAACAGCTCTGAGTCTTCTCCTAATGCCGGATGAGTTTTCCATTCCTCCTCCAAACAAAATCTCTCCCGGTCCTTCATTCCTCAATACCGAATCTCTCTCAGATCCTCCTGATCCGCAGATCCGCGTTGGCGCTCCTCTTCAGTTCAGCCACTCATCTTCCGGTTCAGGGTCTGGGACGGTCATGGCAGAAGCTTCATTTTGTGCTTAGTGACACATTTTTGTGTTGATTTTAATGTTTGTTTTGGATCATGGAAGATCCAACCACGGCCCAATATTTCTAGGTTTTGATTTTTTTAATCTATAGAGTCCATGATGACATGTATTGTATCTGAGCAAGAAGTCCAGGACCTCCAGCAAAAAAATAGGCCCACAACATATATTTAACCGTGAGCATGGGGTACTATTGATCACATCTGGTGGATTTGCTGCCGAAAAGCTCTTTTTTTAGTGTCATCTGATCACAGAATTCAGTCCCGTTTGAAGATCCACTCGTGTCTGACCACTGAAAATGCTGAGGCTTGTTTTTGGAGGATTTCTCTTGAAACCCTCCCGAACAGCATGTGGTGATGTAGGGGATGTTTGATATATATATTTTAGGCTTTCTGACCCCCAGGACTCAACTAATCTCTGCAATTCTCCAGCTGTGATCCTTGGAGAGTCTTTGGTCCCTCAAACTCTCCTCGTCGCTGAGCATTAAGCCGATATAGACACACGTCCTCTTCCAGGCAGATTTGTAACATCTTGAGTCGTTTGAAACTTTTTAATTATTGCTCTGATGGTGGAAATGGGGATTTTCAATGCTTTAGCTATTAAATAAATATTCAATCAACATTATATTCAATTAAATATTTGCAATGTTTTTTTTGTTTAACACTTTGGTGTTTATTTAATTTTTACTCTTTATTTTCTTTGTTCATAAAACAGTCATCATGAAATAGAAGTTTATAATAAATGCTGCAATATTCCATAAAAAAAAACATTTTGATTTCACAGTGACTGTAATGGTTTATCAGTCTAGTGTTATTACAGCATCATCCGCCAGAGGGCGCCAAACACAAACAGCCAAACGTGTGAATAAAAGAGCGGGAAACAGATTTTCATCTACAACATTATTAACACACTCACTATATGCTTTATAAGCCTCTGGTTTACTGTTTCTCATATCATGAGCTCTATATGATCAGTCACTTTGATACTTTTGTTCTCATTAGCATGTCATGGTTTACAGTGGTGAAACTTGGTATGGGGACACAGGTATGAAATTTTATGTTTAAAGGGAGAAACGTCATAATTAAACTTTATTGCCCACAACAGTTACTATATCAATATCCTAACCAATAGAATAGCCTTAAATAATGTTTAGTCGAGCGTCTAACGCGGTATACCGTAAGCTTTTATAGATCTTACTTTCACACAAGAACTATTTTAAAGGCTATTACTGAAATATGGAGAATAGACTGAGGAAAATCAGCAACAGTGTGTATTATTTATCTACATGTTGTTTTAGATCACGCATATTTTCACTCGTTTCTGTGAAGGACTGAATTAGACAATCTATTGAATGCTCATGTCATCATTTAGTATTTTTAAATTATACAATAATATTCAATAAATACATTTCCTCACACCAATATAATGTATTTTATTGATACAATTGAAGAGAAAGTATTTGTTATTTGTAACAAAACTTTGTAATGTATCTCTAATTACAAACCATTTCATTTACAGACCAACTGGACCTGCTCAAGCTTTTCTCCAAAATAATATCACTTTTTTGACACACACTATAACTTATTTTTTAACCAGTTGGTCTCAAACTCATTTTATAGTTCGTTATATTAAAATATGAACATGTTTCAAAATATGACAACCAGAAAAAAGACACTAAAGCTGTTAAAAAAAGTACTAATATTTACCTATAAGAGGTAAAAAAGATATAAAGGTGCACCTTTTGAAAGGGTTCTGCCATTTGACAGATTTTGTAGCTGTATATAAATCCCACCCGAAGAGCCGAGCTCCTCGTCAGCTATAGATGCGAACAAACAAACACACATGAGAACATTACAGCATACACTGTAAAAAATTATTGTGATTTTAACGGTAAAAGACTGTAAAAATGCTACAGTGAAAAACTGTTAACTGGTTAACAGAACCTTTCCTTACTATATACGGTAAATAACTGTGATAGATCTACTGGTACATTTCATGTAATTTTACTGTAAAATACCGTTAAATTTACAGTTTTTGAAAGTGAAAATGAACAACTCATTGTATAATTTACAGTGAAAAACCGTAAATTGACATTCCCACAATTCCCTGCGTGACACTTCGCATTTGATGTATTTTTGTCGAAATAACTGTTTCTTCATAGTTTGCTTAGTCTTTTTCTAATCAGTTATGTACAATAGGGTTTTATGTGACATTTAATGTTGTTAAATGAATGTTTATTGCCTTTTTAAAATGTCATGTGTGTTACCATGATGATGTTTAATGTTTGTGTGAATGACACTGTGCAGCTTCTATATATTAATAATAACTTTCTTGTGGAAGAACATGTGACTAGCTTTGATTGATGTGACTCTCATCACTGCTGTGATTCCTGATTGTCAGTGTATTACAATGGTTCAAAACAGATATTAATACTTCAATAGGTCGGTAAATTAACATTATATCAAATAATGAAATACGGTTTATTTCTGTAAATTTTTAGTTAAGTCTGTAAAACCTTGCTACCGTAAAATCTTGCTACTGTATTTTATACGGTAAATTTCTGGCAACCACAGCTGCCGGTATTTTACCGTAAATTGAACAGATTTTTTTTTACAGTGTATGTTAATGAGCAGATTATATAATAACCTAAACGAATATCAGGACAGCCAATCGGGATTGTGGATTAGAGCTGCTTAATCTTGAATTAGTAAAGGTCAGATATAACCGTGTGTTTAGGATCAGGTTAGAGAAGAGACTTAAAGAGCCTGACCTGAGATCAGAAACATGAAATCAACATGAACTCACAAGTCTGAGTTTGAGTTGGTTGACAAGAAGCATTTGATGCTATTTAATCATTTAAACATAAAGTTGAACAGGCAGAGCATCAAAATAAAACATACTGATTTATTTTTAGATTGAAATTAAATTTGCTTACAATTCAGTTGATTGGTTATTTGGTTACAAACTTTCTTAGTAACATTAATAGAATGTTCTTTCAAAGTTATCTGGTCTTTAATTATGTTCTCAAAACGTAAGCAGAAAAACATTATTTATACATCATTCATAGAAGTTTTAGTTTGTCTAAGTTGTTTAGAGAACATTCAAAAGTAACGTTCCCATAATGTTTGGAAAATGGTAAAAATGAATGTTAAAAGGAATTGTAAAACATTTAAATTTTGAGAGAATATTCAGAAAAAGTTTTCCAAACCTAATAGGAACGTGAGCACAATGTTCTTCCAATATATTTTGTTAGCTGGGATGTTTATAATATGAACTGAGGATAGAGAAAAACAAATTATCGTGATTTTAATGGTAAAAGACCGTAAAATTGCTACAGTGAAAATTGTTTTACAGAAAGCTTCCGTACTATACAGTGTATAACTGTGATAGATATAACCGTACAGTTAATGTAATTTTACACTACTACATTTACCGTTTCATTTACAGTACCGTTAAATTTACAGTTTTTGGAAGTGAAAAAGAACAAGTCATTGTATAATTTACAGTGAAAAAACGTTAGGGTTAGGGTTTACATTAGGGTTTTATGTTACATTTAATGTAGTTAAATTAATGTTTATTGTATTTTTAAAAAATTCATTTGTGTTACCATTAGTTTGTGTGAATGACACTGTGCAGCTTCTATACATTTCTATTAACAATCTTGTGTAAAAGCTGCTTGAGATGAGCTTTGATTGATCATGTGACTCTCATCTCCACTGTGATTGGTGGTTGTCAGTGTATTACAATGGTCCAAAACAGGTATTAGTCTTCAATAGGTCGGTAAATTAACATTATATCAGATTACTGTTCATTTAAGTTAAGTCTGTAAAACCTAAATTATTCCTACCGTATTTTTTTACGGTAGATTTCTGGCAACCACAGCTGCTGATTTTTTTACCGTAAATTGAACAGATTTTTTTTATAGTGTATGAATTAATACACTAATGGCCATAAAGGTGTTTGAACACACATTCATCATATTTTAGCATATCTGGTGTTTATGTCTGTGTCTGTCGGATAAACTGCAGATGTTCTGAATAAACTATGACTGTTACCACACGCGTGTCCTCCGCTGTAAGAGCCTGAAGTCCTTAAAATACTCTGTGTCAATCTCCTGATCCCTCTATCTGCTTCTGTTGGAGGCGTTTGAGGATCAGAAGATTAGTCGAGCGCTATAAAAGAGTCCGGCAGAAACACTGGACACGAGCTGAAGCGACACATCGCAGAAGAGAAGCGAGAGCACCAGCAGAAGAGCCCGAGACTCCAGCACAGGTAAGAGACCCGCTTCACCTGAGACACAACAGACCCAACATAAAAACAAAGAGAGAAAGACTTTCGTGGACTGATAAAGAACAGACAGATTTAGTGATGGAGAGGAAATAAATAAAAAGGAAAAGCAGAATGCGAGTCAAAATGACAATCCTGGACATCCAGTTAAACATGTTCGCGTGTTGAAATGAACGAAACGATTGTACTATTTTAGTTCGATAATGTTTTTTATTTAATATTTTGTATTTGTAGGGGATTTTGAGGTACTAAATTATATTTATTGGCAGATTATTGCTGAGGTGAAAAAAGTTTTAAAGAGTAACCCTAAAATTATTCTTTTTTTATATGAAAAATTGATTTTCCAAAACACATTGTACTCTAAAACGGTGAGAAAATCAAAGTCATAAATCTAAACAAGCTGTGTTCGAGACTTGAGGTTAATATCTTGAGGTTGATAGCTTCCACTAGATGAAATTAGTCTCCCATTAATTTACAATACGCTCCTTTTTGACCGCGAACAGTACAAGGGTCACTATTTTTAAACCTTTTCGAATCATGTCCATGATTTTTTTGTGTTCACAGTCACACAGCAAGTGCCAAAACCATAACCATAACCAAGTTTCGTACCATTCCGATTAAGTAAAAAATAAATAAATAAATAGTATAAATATAAAGTTGGAATTGTGAAAAAGTCTGATTTGTGAGATAAAAACTCACCATTTCTGTACCTTTCTTTATTTTTATTCCATGGCGGAAACAAGCTTCCACAGATTACAGCCTCAAAGACTCAGATTTATGTGAAGCTCAAATGTACAGTAGACATTCAACAGCGAAAGCCAATTTAGGCAAAAACAGACTAAAAACAGAAACACATTTCTCCCAGAAGTAGGGAAGGAAAAACGGGATGGACTGAGAGCGCCGGGCATCTCCTCTACGAGATTAGCACGATTATGTAAAGAGCAACAGATGTTGGTAAATAAACTCATTGTGTAACCAGCAGATTAGGATTAACACAATCCCAAAATGAGAAGATTAACAGCTAACCTGTTGAGGACATCAGCAAAGGGGACGATATAGACACTTTTTAAAGTGCAGCTGTGTATATTTCAGTGAGAGAGAGGAATGGACGCCCCAGCACCCGTTGAGAAGAGAGGGCCGCCAAAGTTCAAGCAGAGGACCACTCGCACCTTCAAGAGCAAGGCTCCTAAACCTGGCCAGAAAGGCTTCGGAGACGACATCCCCGGGATGGAGGGTCTCGGCACAGGTAAAGCGTCGCATTTCAGTCGCCTTCATCACGCAAATATTGTTTCAGTGTTTTGAATGAGCCTGACCACCTTCTCTCTCTGGGTTTCAACAGACATCACTGTGGTTTGCCCCTGGGAAGCTTTCGGTGACATGGAGCTCAGCGATCTGGCGAAATACGGCATTTTGTAGAAAACTTTCCTCCTGATCACGTAATATTACTCACACCAAGACTGAACCAGCCGCGGACGCTTCAGCCCAACACACAACGAGAAAACGACATGATTAATATATTTTTTTTCGGGAAAAAAGGACAAATGGCACAGAGACTCTTTGCAGGAGGAATCGATCTCAGAGACGCATTAACTAAGTACAAACCGACTTATATTTTTGAAGTGTACATGTGATTGTGTCTGTGTCAGAATCAACTCAGTTCATTAAAACCCTCGATTTGGCAGTAGAACAATAAAAATGTATTTTCCCAAATTTGTGTGATTAGTCTTTTCTCTTTCAGAACTAATAGAGAATCTTTAAACTGGGTCCATTTTGAAACAAGTTCATTAATTTCACTTCAAATATGAACCTCTAGCTATAAAAAAGTCTCTCTTTAAAAAAAAAAATTAGATTTTATATCCATTTGTCATAATAGTCATCGGCAACAAAATACAATCTGAGAAATTCCAAGGTATTACCATAGTATAAATGATATTACATTAAAATAGTATAAATTAAAAATAGTTTGGGGGGGGGGGGTCTCTACTGAGCAATTTGTAATTTGCGCGATGGAAGTATGCACACAAACATGCCAAATATTAAAAATAAAAGGATTACAATGTAAAAGATTAATATTGTGTACATAAAGATATGGTGAAATCCGGCTTGTCCTGTAGATGTTCTGCTTACGCTTTAACCTCACACACACACACACACACACACAAAGCTTTAACCTCTCTCTCTCTCTCACACACACACACAGCTTTAACACACACAGCTTGCTAATTCCGCCATGTAAATAGCGAATCCGCCATGGTGCGCGCCACTGGCTTTTAAAGGGAATGGGAAATTACACTCTGATTGTTTTTTTCCACGTTACGCCCAAAACACACCCATTACTCATTAAGAGAATAGGGAAAACCCTTTTAGACCATGGGTCGGGAGCGCCGACCATTTTCCCCCGTAGGTAAACTAGCAAAAGTGGATTCGGACGCCCTAAGCACAAGTGTTTTGGCTTGCTTAGTGGGGGACATTTACAGTTTTTTACAGTCGCTAGGACACATTTCTCAATACTTAGGTCACTTTTTCTAAACTCTTCACACAGTGAGCACAACAGAAGTGTATGTGGGCTAAACTGTAGATCGTTTATCATTGACTACATCTTTCAAATTACATTAATTCTTTTCTCACTTCGACACAACAACCCCAAAACTCTGTGTACCTACAGGTCAATTTGCTCATGCTTACACACTGTTTTCAAAACTGTTAAACTTAAGTTCAAAACAATAACATAATACAAAACTGAATAAGACAGCATTTTGCCACATTTCTACAGTAATATTGTAATGAAATATATTTCAAATCTAAAAATTAAATTGTATAAAAACAATTGGACATTTGGACCAACCACCGCTGATTCCTATTGTATCTGAATCAGTGGATGGTGTGTATCCAAATTTTTGTACTATGGAATTACTCATTCCAATTACTCAAAACATAAAATATATAAAGTATTGAAGCATAGGCTACTGCATCATGTCTAATTTATTTTAGTAACATACACTCACCGGCCACTTTATTAGGTACACCTGTCCAACTGCTCGTTAACACTTAATTTCTAAGCAGCCAATCACATGGCGGCAACTCAGTGCATTTAGGCATGTAGACATGGTCAAGACAATCTCTTGCAGTTCAAACCGAGCATCAGTATGGGGAAGAAAGTTGATTTGAGTGACTTTGAACGTGGCATGATTGTTGGTGCCAGAAGGGCTGGTCTGAGTATTTCAGAAACTGCTAATCTACTGGGATTTTCACGCACAACCATCTCTAGGGTTTACAGAGAATGGTCCGAAAAAGAAAAAACATCCAGTGAGCGGCAGTTCTGTGGGCGGAAATGCCTTGTTGATGCCAGAGGTCAGAGGAGAATGGCCAGACTGGTTCGAGCTGATAGAAGGGCAACAGTGACTGAAATAACCACTCGTTACAACCGAGGTATGCAGCAAAGCATTTGTGAAGCCACAACACGCACAACCTTGAGGCGGATGGGCTACAACAGCAGAAGACTCCACCGGGTACCACTCATCTCCACTACAAATAGGAAAAAGAGGCTACAATTTGCAAGAGCTCACCAAAATTGAACAGTTGAAGACTGGAAAAATGTTGCCTGGTCTGATGAGTCTCGATTTCTGTTGAGACATTCAGATGTTAGAGTCAGAATTTGGCGTAAACAGAATGAGAACATGGAACCATCATGCCTTGTTACCACTGTGCAGGCTGGTGGTGGTGGTGTAATGGTGTGGGGGATGTTTTCCTGGCACACTTTAGGCCCCTTAGTGCCAATTGGGCATCGTTTAAATGCCACGGCCTACCTGAGCATTGTTTCTGACCATGTCCATCCCTTTATGGCCACCATGTACCCATCCTCTGATGGCTACTTCCACCATGTCACAAAGCTCTAATCATTTCAAATTGGTTTCTTGAACATGACAATGAGTTCACTGTACTAAAATGGCCTCCACAGTCACCAGATCTCAACCCAATAGAACATCTTTGGGATGTGGTGGAACGGGAGATTCGCATCATGGATGTGCAGCCGACAAATCTGCGGCAACTGTGTGATGCCATCATGTCAATATGGACCAAACTCCCTGAGGAATGCTTCCAGCACCTTGTTGAATCTATGCCATGAAGAATTGAGGCAGTTCTGAAGGCAAAAGGGGGTCCAACCCGTTACTAGCATGGGGTACCTAATAAAGTGGCCGGTGAGTGTATATTGCAGTGATTTCTAAACAGTAGAGGTAGAAGAAAGAAGGCATTTACAGAGGAAAACATTGTATAAAGTTTCCTGTTGTTAGTGTTTTTTAGGTCATTGTTTTGTGGGCGACAAAGCGTGTTTGTTGGCTGTCAACCTTTGCTAGTGTTATGGAAGAATGTGTTGCTTTGAGACATGTACGAAGTGATTCTGTAGTTTTAGTGCATTTTGAATGTGAAATGAACTGCTGTGCCGAGCTGAAAGTTGGTTAGGAGAACTGTGAAAAGAGTTTTGAAAAAGTGACCTAAGTATAGAGAAATGTGTCCTGGCGACTGTAAAAAACTCTAAGATTAGACGCAATTTTCTTCTAGAAACAAACTTCGTTGTATTATTTTCATGTTTTCACTGTAAAGCTGCTTTGATACAATCTGTATTGTGAATATAAATAAGGGTGACTTGACTTGATTAAGGGCACTTGCGCCGTGCGCTTTAGACCATGCGCTTAGATTGTTAAAATAGTTAAAATCCCTATTTTAGGCTCTTATTTTAGATGGGTCTTATTTTAGGTGGACCCCTACTGATCTTTCAGAAGGCATCAAAGCAGGGATGGCATGTGCATTTGTACAGCAACAAGCCAAACTAGAAACCAGTTATTGACTTTGATGCTGTGAACATTTGAATTATTGCTCAATTTAAAGATTTTTATGACTACAATATAGAATTAGACACAATTTTTTTGTTTTTTTTCGGCTATGTTATCAGTTGCAGTCTTTTGAGAATCTGAAAAGAAAGGTTGGACAAACACATGTCTGATGGAGGGCACAAACATTATTTTTGGTCTGTTAGTTTTGTCTGTCTCTTTTGAGGCATCGGAAAACATACAGGAGTGCAGCGATTGCAAAATCTGAAGAAAGAGAAGAAGATCAAACCTCCTGCTTGTTGCAAGTCCCAATATTTCGCTGAAAAGACACTCGCCAACTGGAGATCACGTCGGGGTCACCAACCCGTCAGCCCGATGACGGAATCCAACGCTGGGCGAAGGTATAATGTGTGTGTGAGGTTTGCAACCTTTTTACATTTATATAGCGCTTTTTCTAGGTACTCAAAGCGCTTTACATATGGAAGAGGGAATCTCCTCAACCTCCACCAATATGCAGCATCCACTTGGATGATGCGACGGTAGCCATATTGCGCCAGTCGACAATATTAATGCGTAAATATTTAATACACAAACACCTGGTTTCGGGGGAGAGGAGAGGATTCTCAAATATCTTGAAGAGACAACACCCATAAAGGAGAAAAGAATTCTCCTAAGTTTTAAATCTTTCTCATAATACCAATGACTGCAATGAAACTGAGGCCATTTTACCAATCGCTGAGACTGAGACATTTAAAACTATACCAAACATGAAAGGGAAAAACAATAGATTCATAAGATACATCACATGTGGTATCTAGACATTCTTAGAGAACTTTCTGTGACTTGAATCTTTTTTCTTAGATCTTCTCTCCAGGGGTGCGTTTTATTGTGTTATATTGTACTGGCTTGGATCTCAGCTTTTGTCTTAGCAGGAAAATCAAGTCTTACATACCTTTTAGAAGGGCTTTATATAAAAATACTAATTAACTTTTTATTATTTCACACACTGTAGCTGTGTTTCCATTACCCTTCAAATTACACAAATTTAAATTGCCAATTGAAAATACGGCCAATGGATATTTTGCAAAAACTCCTATATATTCCAAAAACGTTTTTACGCGCGCATGAGGTGGTTTTTCAGACAATTCGATAAAGGAATATTACGCAAAAGAATTTACAGGTCACCTGGCGTACGTAAAAGTCACATGATCATCGGTATGTTTGGACAGAAGAATGAGACATAGTTCTTTATAAAACTAATAAAAGACAAAAGGTTGAACTGTTCTTCCAGAAATCTGAATCCACGTTCCTCATCCGTGGCCAGGTATAAGGGGGTTCTCTTACCATTAATGCTCGGATAACAACACGCCTACGTCTCCGATCTCAAGACGGTAATGCTTGCATTTTTCTTCTTTCTTTAGCAAAGCTCTTTCTAATACATTTTCAATTTCTCTCTACTCTGCCATTTGCTTAATAAATGCTTACAACATTCAGTGTGGTGTGTTTTTCTTTATAAACCGCTTTCTCAATAAATTATTCATAACAACAGTTGCAGTGTTTTTCCTTCTCAATATACCACATTCTCAATAAATGCTTTACAAAAGTTATTATAAGTCCTTCATTATATAACAGTTTTTTAATACATCGTTTAGTAATTTCTGGTGTCTTTTCTTATAAAAACACTTTCATTTTAGTGCAAGTACAACTTTGATTAAATATAACACATAGTGTTCCATACACAGAAAGGCATAATTCCAATAGAATAATTGCATATTCCATAACAATACTTATAGAAAATAGTTGACAATAAATAGACAGGAGTCCTGTCAGAGGACCAATAATAGCATTGCATCACTTATTATAAAAAGAATATCAAGTATAAGTAATTTAACGAGTTTTAAAAACACGGATGGATAATAAAAAAAAGCTTTCTGACATTTTGACAGGATAAAACACAACCAAAAACAAAAATTAAACTTTTCATTTTACAATGATCTTCTCTTTCTTTGTGCGCGGTCTGTGTTTATGAGAGAGCTCGCGCTGCACTGATCCAACGGTACTTTTTAATCCAAGTAACTAACGCGCTAGTTTTCATACTAAATTATTATGTATTAGGTAGGCCTACTTTAGTTATTATTAACACAATAACGTAACACATGCAGGGTACGTTTCTCAACACTGATAATGAATAAATAAACACCTGTTTCTCCAGACTCGCGCTTATCAGTCATCCACAAATCACAGCACTTTCATAATCACTAAGACATAGCTATTTTAATTTTATTTAGATTTATTGTTCATCAATAGGCTACTTGAGCATTTTATAATTTGCATGGCTGAATGATGTCTTCCTTTTATCGGAGTGACCATGAATGACGGAGTATTTTAAAATAATCCATGCGATCACTCCCGTGTGATAATCGAATCCAGATTAAGTTAACTCAATACAATACTTCAACTTTCCACATCCACCCCGGCCCGTTTACCTTCAGGAGTCAGAAGTACCGTGACTACTGTCCTCGCTTATGAACTCAGTCAGACGGCGGCCGCCGGAGTGGAAGGGGATCGAGCGGGATTCTTTATAGAGAGCCTAAGCCCCGCCCCTCCGCTTCCAGCTCAAAAAATATGTATGGTAGTCAATGGCGAGAGACAAGTTATCTTTTTATTCCGTCTGAACTGTGCCCTGAGTTACACACATGATGTTTGTCAATTTAAAAGATAATCATGAAAGTCGCAGTTTGTCATGAAACAGAAGAGTAACATTTAGTTTTGAAAATCGCTCAATGAACTACATCTCCCGGGAAGCGAAACAACGAGCGAGATCCGCTGCTCGTGTGTGTGCAGTCTGGTACAAAACACTCGATGATGGCGTAACGTTACGATTATAACGAGGTAAGACTATAGAAACAATGACAGACGTTAGCTTCAGTAAAGTTAGCTTCAGTAAAGTTAGCTTCAGTAAAGGTAGCTTCATTCATTGAGAGAAAATGTGCGCCTTTTGGGTTTGTAGTCTTTGTAATTACGTATTTTCACAGTCTTATACCTCAACAGTTTTACATCAAACTGCGACTTTCTTGACTTTAAAATGTATCTTTTAAATTGACAAACATCATATGTGTAATTCAGGGCACAATTCAAACGAGATTAAAATATTTGTTGTCTCTCGCCTTAACTACCATACAATATTTTTCCGATACAAGGTCCCATGGTGGTCGGCCGGAAGGGGAGGGGCTTAGGCTCTCTATTGCTGTCGATTTTCAGTCTCTTTTTAATGATAGGCCTTACGCATCTGTCAATCATCCCCGCTTGCTATTTGGGGAATGAACCTAGCGCTATGATTGGTCGAACTCCGCTTCTTTAGCTGTTGCTTGATTTGAGGACTGCGCGTGCACAGAGGCGTCACCAGGTTTTTTCCGTAGTTTTGAGTGACAAATCGTACCAGTGTACTTAGTTTGAGGTCAAAATGCGTACCCGCTACGCAAAATGCATACAGGTTGGCAGGTCTGCATCATATTACATGATTTACACTATAAAAACACTTGTACTTAATGAGGATATTAATTATAATAAACAAATTATAAATGTTTAATTATTAATATATAAAGACATACCAGATTTAGATAAAGCTAATTAAATTATTTCACATGAACAAGAGTGAAAAAACATCGAGGATCACAACGGTCAAAGACGCCTGTCTAATGCTTGTTTATAAGATATGAAGACAAATGAAAAAACAGTGTCTTTTGGTGTTTCGTTTTGGGGACTTCCACTGACTTCCATTGACTTTTCTTACAGAAAAGAAAGTGTCTTATTTTGTAAGACATTCTGTGTTCCACAGAATAAAGAAAGGCACACAGGGTTGGATGATGTGATCGTAACAATCACAGGATGAGATTAATGTTATTAACATACAAGAGTTTGCTCAGTGTGTAGTTGGGATCATTCAGTAGATCAGAGAGCATCTTGACTTCTGATTTTTTCAGGCGATTGTCATTCAGATCCAGCTCTCTCAGGTGTGAGGGGTTTGAACGTAGAGCCGAAGCCAGATAACCACAGCCTTCTTCTGTCACCTGACAGTGACTTAATCTACAAACACACACAATACCAATGATGATATCCGAAACATTAGAATTCACAACAATAGCTTGTTAAATCGATTGAATCATTACACAATTAATATAAACTGTGTTTAGAAACGAAATATTTGACATTTCATTAACTATACGTTCTGCTGACAGGAGAATATGGTTCTGATCACCAGTTAATCTACTTGCCATCTACCATATACTGAGGATCATAAGCAAATAGATTTCTCCTGAAGGAAATAATTGTGTTTGAGTAAGTTTGGGTTTTAGGTTCTGAGTTAAAGGGGTCATATAATGCCATTTTTGTACAAGCTAATATGATTCTTTAGGGTGTAAATTAAAAGTTTGTAATATACTTTAATTAAAAATTCTCATTAGTATTGTATGAAAACACTTATTTTACCTGGTAAAAAACAGCTCTGTTTTCAGCACGCCGTTTCAGTGTATGACTTTAAATGATCATGAGCTTTGCTCACCCCGCCCCTCTGTTCTGTGCATATACCAGAGCCGGCTCTGGCGTACACCGTTTGTAACACAATAACCATAACACGTTGTTCAGTATAAACGTGGGATTATGCATTATATTGAGAACGTCATACATAGAAAACATGCCGTAATGTACCCTGAGTGTAAACCTTAGACGCATTCATCGTGAAGCGTGCAGCTAGCGATTTACAAGGATTAATATAAATATTAAAGGAGAACTCCGGCGCAAAATGAACCTTTGGTCCAATTACACATTGTTACCTAGTCAACCGTTATCTGAGATTTGTTTTCATGATTATCGAATGTAAATAGTTTTATCTCTAAAAACAGTTTAGCCTATAAAGCAGTGTTTCTCAACCTCTCCTGCAGGGACCCCCTGACAGGCCATGTTTCTGTTTTAACCCTGAAATGGCACACCTGATTCAAGTCATTAAAGGCTTAATGAGTAGTTGACTAATTGATTAATTGAACTATTCCTACTCTAATTACTCATTAAGCCTTTAATTACTTGAATCAGGTGTGCCATTTCAGAGTTAAAACAAAAACATGGCCTGTCAGGGGGTCCCTGCAGGAGAGGTTGAGAACCACTGCTATAAAGCTAGTATAACGGTAGTATATTGGGCATAGATCAATGACAAATAAAAATCGCTTGTTAATACCACTAACAAGGCTCAAAATAGCCCCACACTAACACGGTAGCATAATGAGTGTCCCTACCTTCAAACCGAAGCATTGAGAACTTTGTCAGTGTCCAGACAGTTTAATAAGAAGATATTTTTTACATACAGTCAACTTCGCGTATACAGACAGGAGCCATCTTTGAAAAAGAGTCTCTACCAGTCGATCTACGAACACCGATCCAAGCCTGCTGTTCGCACTCACCTTATCACAACTTATAGCTCGTTCACATCTCACCAGCGCACTTGGAGCGGCGTTCGTAGATCGACTGGTAGGGACTTTTCAAATTTTTTTTTTTTTTTTTTTTTTTTTTGAGCCTTGTTAGTGGTATTAACAAGCGATTTTTATTTGTCATTGATCTATGCCCAATATACTACCGTTATACTAGCTTTATAGGCTAAACTGTTTTTAGAGATAAAACTATTTACATTCGATAATCATGAAAACAAATCTCAGGGAACGGTTGACTAGGTAACAATGCGTAATAGGACCAAAGGTTCATTTTGCGCCGGAGTTCTCCTTTAATATAAAGTTTAATAAAACCTTACACTCACTTCAGTTCTTCTAGAGGTTCAGCAGGAACACGAATAGCTGGTACCGATCTTTTTTCAGGAGCAGCTTCTTAGCAAATCCAGCTTTATACTGATCCTCATTTATAAAGCAGTCTGGTGTGTGAAATGATTCGCACATGAGAGCATTGACGTTGCTCGTGGGGAATATTCCCTTCGAAAACAAACACAGCCACTGCGTCTTCGGCGGTTCGGATTTAGGAACATTAAAATGACTGTGTTCATTATTACACCCAAGAACAGAACACCACAATCGCTTAGACGCCATTCTGCTCATAGACAGTGCTCCAGCATATCAACAATGAGCGCGCCGGTCCGCGCAGACTATGATTGACAGCTCTCACGAGCGAGGGCGGGTCTGTGTTGAAACCCGGCTGTCATTCAACAATCGTGGGAGGGGCGTTCGAGCGTGTGACGTCACAGGCTCGAACGGCTCGATTTGAGGCAGGGGAAAACATATAAGGAGATTAAAACAAAAACACTGGATGGATTTTTATCATTATATGATGGTTGTGTACAGACACTGCCAACACACATTTCAGTACAATCAACTTGTAAAAGTGCATGTACCATTATATGACCCCTTTAAAGTAATGCTGTTGACACATTGTTTTCTACACAACAATATTCTTCTTTTCTTTTAGAGAGAGTGACTCTTATACATACATACATACACTATATTGACAAAAGTATTGGGACACCCCTCCAAATCATTGTATTCAGGTGTTCCAATCACTTTAATGGCCACAGTTGTATAAAATCAAGCACCCAGGCATGCAGACGCTTCTACAAACATTTGTGAAAGAATGGGTTGCTCTCAGGAGGTCAGTGAATTCAAGCGTGGTCCCCTGATAGGTTGCCACCTGTGCAATAAGTCCATTCGTGAAATTACCTTACTACTAAATATTCCACAGTCAACTGTTAGTGATATTATAACAAAGTGGAAGCGATTGAGAACAACAGTAACTCAGCCACGAAGAGGTAGGCCACGTAAAAATCCAAGAGTGGGGTCAGGCGTACAGTGCGCAGAACCCGACAACTTTCTGCAAAGTCAATAACTACAGACATCCAAACTTCCTGTGGCCTTCAGATTAGCTCAAGAACAGTGTGTAGAGAGCATCATGGAATGGGTTTCTATGGCCGAGCAGCTGCATCCAAGCCTTACATTAACAAGTCCAATGCACAGTGTCGGATGCTGTGGTGTAAAGCACGCCGCCACTGGACTCTAGAACAGTGGAGACGTGTTCTCTGGAGTGAAAAATCACGCTTCTCTGTCTGGCAATCCAATGAACGAGTCTGGGTTTGGCGGTTGACAGGAGTACAGTACTTATCTGACTGCATTGTGCCAAGTGTAAGGTTTGGTGGAGGGTGGATTACAAGGGAATCACATGACACGACTTTGTGACATGACTTTGACAACAAAAAAACAAAACTAGACATTACAAAGCCGATTTCAGAATCCCTTCTTTTGATCAACCTGTTTTTATGATATGATCCAATCCGATAGCTGAAATCTGATCAGATAACTTTTGAACAACTTGGCTCAGCTCGTTAGGAGAGACTCCATATACTGATCTGAGTGTATCAGATGAGAAAGAGTCAAAATGTGCACAGCATTGGATCTCCAGAACCGGAGCTGAGAACCACTGTTTTTAGAATTGTAGATTTGAAAATCATGCTTTTCCACATTATTGTTGAATCACGGAAGCTAAACTAGTTTACACCCTACTATCCAGTTTAATTGTCAGGTAGTTAGAAAAGCCCAATCCATCGTAATGATTAATTCCTATCTTCTCTATTCTGAGTTTCAGTTTTTACCCTCAGGATCTCGGTTAAGATTTCCCTCTGTTAGGAGAAACAGGTGTAACGCTGTTGTGGTCGTTGAAGGCACTAATCAGGGACTAACGAGAACAGGTGCAGGCAAGACAGAACATAATTGTGACAATTATGTACATACATTCATTTATTCCTACTTCTGTTTCTCTGTTAAATTCAGGCATGGGGGAATAGGTGGAAGTATGTAGTTGTTTGGGCCTGTTGTTGTCTTGTGTAGATATTATGACATTTTTAATGTATTGTAAATTGTCTTTTTTGTATGCTTGCTGTTAAACCAATTGCCCTTCAAGGACATAAAAAGATAAAAAGAAAGAAACCTCAGTATCTCAAGCTGACAGTTTGAGTCCATCTTCAGTCCATCAGAGAGTAGCTTCACTCCTGAATCCTTCAGCTCATTGTCACTCATGTCCAGCTCTATCAGATGGGAGTTTGATGATTGTAGAACTGATGTCATCATTTCACAGGACTGAACAGTGAGTTCACATCCTGCCAATCTGAATAGAATAATAAAAAAGTGAACAATTACTCATCAATTAACAGTGGTGTAAGGTAACAAAGTAGAAATACTTTCTCTGTATTTGAATAGTTCCTGTACATAACTATACTCCAAATGATCCAAAACTGTGTAGCTGTAGCACAAGAGCAGAGAGAGACAGGCCTTCCATGCAGTGATGCTGAACTTGTTCACGCCATTGATAAACACAACGAGAAGTGTTTGAATCATTTGAATTCAACACTACTATGATATGGGGCCTTAAAGGCAGTTTCTAACACTAGAAATACTGTAGGAATAACACATTTAATTTCCCCTTTAAATCATTTGGTGAAATATCTTATATCTTCATTTGTAATACTATTTAATTAAATTAAAAATGAAATTCAATAAGGAACTGCAGTCAAGATCCTGATGAAAGATCAATATCTCTAAAATGGTCATAATTAAACACAGTTCTATATAATTTAAGAGTGAACTTTTTACTTTTATTTTGTTTTTGTTAATAGTATACTATGTTCAAAACAAATGCTTTACTGTAAAACATTTAGGAAATGATCTATTATTAGTTATTACTTTAATTTTGAAAAAGAAAAAAAAAACACTGAAAACAATTCACTGAAATATATTGGTGGGTTTTTTCCAGGCAGGACCAATCTTGACAATTTTGATTCCCACAATACACACTGCTTGTCGAGGCAGGCATTTTGACTTATTTCTGTGTGCATTTGGATTTGCACAATTTGTTGTTATGATTTGTTACGTCTGTGTCGTATTTTGGTTGTGTTTTCTTTCCCCCCCTCCCCTTTTCTTTTGTTCTCTGCTGTCCTTATTCTTAGGTCGCATGATTGGTGGGTTCGTATCTATCATGATTAACCAACGTGACGTCATCCCCCTAAAGAACCAATCCGAACTCACCCTCTCCATATAAAGACCTGGAAGTGACGAGCAGAGAGAAGGAGGCGTGTTTTTTTCTCGTGTCACTGTGTTGTTGTTCGCTGTTAGCCTCCTCGATTGTTTTTTCTTTTATTTCTCTAAGTTTGTATTATTTGATTTATTTTGGTGCGTGACTTTGTCGTACGACATCGATCTTCCCAGACACAATGAGAAGGGATAGTTAGTCTGTCACGTGATCTACATAATGCAACACGTTAGAGTTTGAGTTTGTTTATATACATCAGGTAAGGAGCGGATGCTACCTCATGTATTTATGTTTGTTATTTAGTGTAGTTTAGTCGGTGATTCGTTGCCGGAAAATTGTTTATTTTCGTGTATTTCTTTGATAGTTTAGGAATATCAAAGGGGTTAAGATTAGAGGGTTTTGTTATGTTTATTTCTTTGCTTTAGCACCGCTCATTGTCCCTTTCTCCTGTGTTTTATGTTTTGTCTCTTCATTTGTGTATATTCTGTAAATATTTATTTCTTCACTTTCAAACTGTAAAACTATTGGGTTACTATTGCGACCTACTAAAAAGCACTCAACGAAATCTGTCTCTGTCTGATTCATCTCAACACAAGTTGTTATCAGTAGCTGAACCTATTTTCTTTTTTTTGTTATTTATTTAACTAAATTTAATACTTCTATGTTACTTTCCCTATTAGTTCTAGACCTAGTAATGGGGAGACGTAACATAATTGGGGGCTCGTCGTTTGTTACTGTTTATTAAATAATTGTGTTGTTTTGAACATGGCAGAGATTCAGTGTGAATGGTAGTGAACTTGTGGAGTATATCTTTCCTTTTTGTGAGGCATGTTAGTTCGAGTTGTTAATACTAAGCGTGCTCATGGCGTTTAATTTGCAGGGTTTCCTTGATTATCCCTCATTAGATGCTATCGAAAAGTGTAGGAAAGATGAGTTGTTGACAATAGCTAACCACTTCCAGATTTCTATTCCAAAGCAATCCCTAAAACGAAAAATTAAAGCCGAAGTGATAGATCGGCTGGTTGAATTAAACATTTTGCCTGACGTAGACAAAAAGACCGATCCTTTTGGCGAAGGGCAGGATGTTATTGAAGTGGGTAAAGAGGAGGTAGAGACGGCCGTGACGGAGGTTGAGGCCGATGTCGGGGCTGTTTTGCCCCCTTTTGAACCCTTTTCCCCGAGTACTCCCAGTTCAAGAGGGGAGATACAAACGAAAGTGCGAATTGCACGACTCCGTATGGAGGTGGAAGAACGAGCACAAGCCCGCCAAGCAGAGCTGGATCTTAAGCTGGAAGTCCGCAGGCTCGAAATTCAAGCCGAGAAAGAGGTGAACCTTCGTAAGTTGGAGATTGAAGCGGCTAGGGTTACTCCAGTCTCCTCTGGGCAGCAGAACTTCTCATCGGTGAGTAATAATTCGACGAATTTGGGTTCAACCACATTTGATGTGGGAAAACACATTGCTTTGGTGCCGAATTTTAGAGAATCAGAAGTGGATAGTTATTTTAACGCTTTTGAGAGAATAGCAACGTCTTTAGGTTGGCCAAAGGAGGTTTGGTCGTTGTTATTGCAATGCAAATTGGTCGGCAAGGCATTAGAAGTGTACTCCACTTTATCTTTGGAAGATGGTCTTAAGTATGACATGGTGAAGTCCGCCATACTCCGGTCATATGAGTTAGTACCAGAGGCTTACAGGCAACATTTTCGAAATTGTAAGAAAAACGCAACTCAAACCTTTGTAGAATTTGCACGAGATAAGGGAATGCTTTTCGACAAATGGTGTTTTTCTAGTAAGGCTGATGATTTTGTTTCACTTAGGGAGCTTCTTTTACTGGAGGATTTTAAGCAGTGTCTCCCTGAGAGAGTGGTGCTGTATTTAAATGAGCAGAAGGTAGCGACACTTTCACAAGCTGCAGTACTAGCGGACGAATTTGTGCTTACGCATAAAAACGTTTTTCAAATAGCAGGTCCTGAGAAGAATTCTTTACCGAGGGCTTCAATGAATGTTCAGATGCCTAAACAGAGTAGTGAGAAGTCTAAAGAGACTCGTGACTGTTTTTATTGTCACAAGAAAGGACATGTTATAGCCGACTGTTTTTCTTTGAAGCGCAAGCAGAACTTTCCGAAGAAAGAAATTGCATTTGTGAACTCGGTGAATTCGTGTTTGCTTTCTGAAAATGGAGCTGAAATACCAGACCCTTCGTACTTGCCCTTTTTACTTAAAGGGTTTGTTTCATTAACCGGTAAAAAGGAGGACCAGGTTGAAGTCCAGATGTTACGTGACACGGGAGCTGCGCAGTCGTTTGTATGCGCTGATGTGTTGTCTTTTTCAGATGAATCATCAGTAGGATCTAGTAGGTTAGTGCAGAGTTTCAGTATGGAGGTGATTAGGGTACCCATTCATCGGATCCATCTTCAGTCTGACTTGGTGACCGATTTTGTGGAGGTAGGAGTACGTCCAGTATTACCAGTGAAGGGTGTGTCTTTCATCTTAGGTAATGATTTAGCCGGGGGGCAGGTAACACCTTTGCTGGAAGTGGTAGACACTCCATTGACTCATCTTAAGACCGATGAGTTGTTTCAGAAATACCCAAGTGCATTTCCTGCGTGCGTTGTTACAAGGGCCCAATCTAAGAAGGGGAATGACATTTCTTTATCTGACTCTTTCTTGTGTACAGATGGGACGACGGAGGAGGTTGTGGAGACCAGGTTTTGTGACAATGACCAGGTGAGGGAGGTTGTAGTGAGTGATCCTTTGTCATTAACCGTAACTCGTGAAAAGCTCATTGAAGCTCAAAAAGATGATCCATCGTTAGCAAAGTGTTTTAAGTCAGTGAAGAGTGATGAATTGGACAATGTTTCATTCTTGGTTAAGGATGGTTTACTTATGCGAAAATGGCACAAAAGTAATACTATAGAGAACGAGTGGAATGTAGTTTATCAAGTGGTGGTTCCCACTGTTTTTCGTCAGCAGGTTTTGTCTTTGGCGCATGATCACCTGTTGGCAGGACATCTAGGGGTAACAAAAACCTATAATCGTGTTCTTCAACATTTTTTTTGGTATGGTCTTAAGCGGGATGTGATTCAGTATTGTAAGACCTGTCACATTTGTCAATACGCAGGAAAACCTAACCAGGTGATTCCACCGGCTCCTTTGATTCCAATCCCTGTGTTGGGCGAACCTTTTGAACACGTAATAGTGGACTGTGTGGGGCCATTACCAAAGTCAAAATCTGGTAACCAGTTTCTACTTACAATCATGTGTACCGCTACTAGGTACCCAGAGGCCATTCCACTTCGTAAGATTACAGCCAAAGTGGTTGTTAAAACTTTAACAAAGTTTTTCTCGACTTTCGGCTTACCAAAGATTGTGCAAACCGATCAGGGCACCAATTTTTTATCTAAGCTGTGTTCCCAAGTTTTCCAGTCGCTAAATATCACACATCGTATATCTAGCGCATATCATCCCCAGAGTCAGGGAATGTTAGAGAGGTTCCACCAGACCTTAAAATCAATGTTGAGGAAATATTGCATTGAGACGGGAAACGAGTGGGATGAAGGAGTCCCATTGCTTTTATTTTCAATTCGTGAAACTGTGCAGGAATCTCTTAAATTTAGTCCATCAGAGTTGGTCTTTGGGCATACGGTCAGAGGTCCTCTGAAAGTCCTGAAAGAGAGGATGTTAGGCATCGAGAATGGTAGGGAAATAAATGTGCTAGATTATGTAAGTAAGTTCCGGGAACGACTACAGAAAGCGTGTACACTGGCTCGAGAATCTTTGTCTAAAGTTCAGGGGAAAATGAAGGAGCGTTATGACAAATGTGCCGTGGATAGATCTTTTGCCGTTGGTGATCAAGTTTTGGTCTTGCTTCCCATTCCTGGATCTGCTTTATCTGCACGATTTTCTGGGCCATATGTGATCCTTGAGAAAAAGAGTGAGACTGATTATGTGGTGCGAACTCCTGATAGGAGACGTCAGAAGCGAGTATGCCATATTAATATGCTGAAAGCTTATCATGCTAGAGCTGGCTCTAATACAGAATCTCTTACCATGAAAAGTGAAAGTTCTGTTGTCTTTCCAGTGGGTGTGGTCTGTGAGACGAGTCCAGCTGTTGAGCAGCAGGATGCTGATCTGGATGGTGTACTGGAGTCTGATACGCCGTTATTATCAGCTAGGCTGTCAAACTCTGAAACTCTTAAAGACTTATCCAATTTTTTAGCTCATCTTAATGCAGGTCAAAGGCAGGATGTTGTAGAGCTTCTTGACAAATTTTCTTCTATTTTGGGTGACGTTCCTACACTTACACACGTGCTACAACACGATATTGATGTAACTAATGCACGACCGATTAAACAACACCCTTATAGGATTAATGCTGTGAAAAGAGCTATAATGAAACAGGAGACTCAGTATTTGTGGGAGAAGGGATTGGCCAGTCCTAGTGTTAGTCCCTGGAGTTCCCCGTGTATTTTAGTGCAGAAATCAGATGGCACTAAACGTTTCTGTACTGATTATCGACGCGTTAATGCTGTTACGATACCAGATTGCTTTCCACTACCGAGGATGGAGGACTGCGTGGATAGCATAGGATCAGCAAAGTTTGTTAGTAAACTCGACCTACTGAAAGGATACTGGCAAGTTCCACTGACCTCTAGAGCATCTGAAATTTCAGCGTTCGTAACGCCAGATTGCTTTATGCAATATAATGTTATGGCTTTTGGCTTGCGAAACGCCGCAGCTACATTTCAAAGATTGGTCAATTTAGTTCTTGTTGATGTTCCTAACTGCAATGCATATCTTGATGACGTGGTTGTTTATTCACAAAGTTGGTCAGAGCATGTATCGTTACTAGGAACAGTGTTTGAGCGTCTAGCGAAGGCATCCCTAACACTTAATCTTGCTAAATGTGAGTTTGGGAAGGCAACAGTTACCTATTTGGGTAAACGGGTGGGTCAGGGTCAAGTGCGTCCTTTGTCAGCAAAGGTTTCGGCTATTAGCGAGTTTCCTGTGCCATCTACCAGACGTGAGTTGCGTAGGTTTTTAGGTATGGCCGGTTATTACCGTTGTTTTTGCCGGAATTTTTCGTCTGTTGCAACTCCTTTAACTGCTTTACTTAGCCCTTCGAATCAGTTTGTTTGGTCACATGAGTGCCAGAATGCTTTTGACAGCGTCAAAACGTTGTTGTGTAGTGAACCCGTGTTGTCTGCTCCTGATTTTTCCATACCGTTTAAGTTGGAAGTGGACGCAAGTGAGGTGGGAGCTGGTGCTGTATTATTGCAGGAGGGTAATGATGAGATCAATCATCCTGTTTGTTATTTCTCAAAGAAATATAACAAACATCAGCGTAACTATTCCACTATCGAAAGAGAAGCTCTAGCTTTACTGTTGGCTCTTCAACATTTTGACGTGTATGTCGGTTCGACTGTCCTTCCTGTAACGGTCTACACAGACCATAACCCACTGACTTTTCTTCTACGCATGCACAACCGGAACCAGAGATTGATGAGATGGTCTCTCATCATTCAGGATTATAACCTGGAAATAAAGTATAAAAAAGGTGTGAATAATGTGGTGGCAGATGCGCTATCCCGGGTTTAAAATAAAGTGAGTTGATCATAATTTGGGTTCTTTTGACAAACTCTGTATTTTGTACAGAGGTTTGTTTTTAAGGAGGTGGGTGTTACGTCTGTGTCGTATTTTGGTTGTGTTTTCTTTCCCCCCCTCCCCTTTTCTTTTGTTCTCTGCTGTCCTTATTCTTAGGTCGCATGATTGGTGGGTTCGTATCTATCATGATTAACCAACGTGACGTCATCCCCCTAAAGAACCAATCCGAACTCACCCTCTCCATATAAAGACCTGGAAGTGACGAGCAGAGAGAAGGAGGCGTGTTTTTTTCTCGTGTCACTGTGTTGTTGTTCGCTGTTAGCCTCCTCGATTGTTTTTTCTTTTATTTCTCTAAGTTTGTATTATTTGATTTATTTTGGTGCGTGACTTTGTCGTACGACATCGATCTTCCCAGACACAATGAGAAGGGATAGTTAGTCTGTCACGTGATCTACATAATGCAACACGTTAGAGTTTGAGTTTGTTTATATACATCAGGTAAGGAGCGGATGCTACCTCATGTATTTATGTTTGTTATTTAGTGTAGTTTAGTCGGTGATTCGTTGCCGGAAAATTGTTTATTTTCGTGTATTTCTTTGATAGTTTAGGAATATCAAAGGGGTTAAGATTAGAGGGTTTTGTTATGTTTATTTCTTTGCTTTAGCACCGCTCATTGTCCCTTTCTCCTGTGTTTTATGTTTTGTCTCTTCATTTGTGTATATTCTGTAAATATTTATTTCTTCACTTTCAAACTGTAAAACTATTGGGTTACTATTGCGACCTACTAAAAAGCACTCAACGAAATCTGTCTCTGTCTGATTCATCTCAACACAAGTTGTTATCAGTAGCTGAACCTATTTTCTTTTTTTTGTTATTTATTTAACTAAATTTAATACTTCTATGTTACTTTCCCTATTAGTTCTAGACCTAGTAATGGGGAGACGTAACATGATTGTTATGTCAGATTATCTAATAACAAAGAGATTCCACTTTAATTTGTTTATCTTAATAACATACAGTATGATTTGGCATGCCATCTCTCATGTGTGGACATAATGGGGAGAAAACATCCCTATTGCAATACATGCTTCATTGACTTCATCATCATCTTCATGATCATCATCTTGCAGTAAAATAGATGAACCCAGAATATAAACGCAACACGCAAAGTTGCATGTATTTTTATCCCATAGGAATTTATACGCAATTAAGAGCATTGTATTCAGGGTTTAAAATTCTTTTAAAATTTCAATTATAAATTGTCAAATTCAGGGTTTATCTGCTTGCCTGTATGCATCATCATTACAGTGTATACTGAATTTGTTATATTAAAATCATTGTCTTTGTGCATTAAGGCATGTTAGGCAGTTTCATGTTAAGTGTTTTAGAATGTCCCAATGTTTTTAGTGATTGAAAAACCTCAGTATCTTCAGCTGACAGTGTTGGCTCTTCAGTCCACCAGAGAGCAGCTTCACTCCTGAGTCACGCAGGTAATTGTTACTCATGTCCAGTTCTATCAGGGGTGAGTTTGGTGTCTGCAGGGCCAAAGCCACAGTTTCACAGCAGGTGTCATCGAGAAAACATGAGGTGAGTCTATAAAAACAGGATATTTGTCAATGTCATTTATTGTGTTAATTTTGTAGGATCAGTGCTTGTAGAGTGATAGGTTATGCCATATTCTCTATTAACATTCAAGCTTACTAGAAAAATATATAAATATCATGCACGCTGGAACTGATGTGACAGTCAAGTGAAAATAACTTTCAAATGTATGTTTATAAAATCACTGTGTATTAAATATATTTTATTTTACGATTGTCAGAGTAAAAAACTTTGATTAAACAGCTCTCAACAAGTCACTAACTTTGCTTTTCTGTAGCATCTCACAGCTGGCAGGAGACTCATGTAGTCTCCTAAATCAATCTTGAACCTCCTCAGGTCGAGATCATCCAGCACCTCCTCTGACATCAGCAGTACGTGAGCAAACAATGAGCACATGGAAGATGACAGTCTTCTTCGTGGATATGATCTGAAGTATCTTATGATTTCTGTTCTGTCATTGAGCTCCAGTAAGGAGAAGAACAGGTTGACTGAAGATTCAGGTGAGATGTTTTGGTTTTGTAATTGTTCTGCAATGTATTTGATTAGTATTGTGACACTGTCTTTGCTGTCTTCAGTGTGTGTGAACAGGCCACTGAGCAGTTTCTGATTGGACTCCAGTGAAATGCCCAGCAGAAACCGTAAAAATAGGTCTAAATGTCCTTTCTGACTTTGCATCGCTTTCCTAACAGCCTTCTTTAGTAAATCATGGAAAGCAATATTTTTGTCTGGCTTTTTGAAGTCCGACTCACTCTCATTCTTGTTGGGTTTGAGCAGTCTTTTAAACTGAAATTGAAACCGATGATTAGATCTTTGTGTTTCTTCACTAAAAAACTCCAGTTCATCCATGTTCTTGTTCAGGTAGCAGAGGAACACGTGCACTGCAGCGAGGAACTCTTGAACACTCAGATGCACAAAGCAGAAGACCTTCATCACATGAACTCCAGCTTCTTGCTGAAAGATCTCAGTGAGCATTCCTGTGGATTCAAAGTCTTCACCCACATCAATACCACATGCTTTCAGATCCTTCTCATAGAACACTACATTTTCTTGCTTCAGCTGTTCAAACGCTAGCTTAGCTAACTTCAAAATCATTGTTTTATTGGAATCTAAGAGCTTGGTGCGTTCTCTTTCTGTTTTTCTGTCATGTTTCTGGCTCTTCATGTTCATCTGTATCACCAGGAAGTGGATGTACATTTCAGTGAGTGTCGTGTTGATATTTTCTGCATCGTTTCCAATTGAGGTATCCTGAAGAACAGTGGCTGTGATCCAACAGAACACGGGAATGTAACACATGATGTAGAGACTACGAGATTTCTTAATGTGTGAGATCATTCTGGAGGCCTGAGTCTCATCTTTGATTCTCTTTCTGAAATACTCCTCCTTCTGCTGGTCAGTGAATCCTCGCACCTGGGTGAACAACCCTACACACTCCGGAGGGATCTGATTGGCTGCTGCTGGCCGTGATGTCACCCAGACGTGAGCTGACGGAAGCAGAGTCCCGTTCACCAGACTTGTAAACAGTTGATCTACAGATGATCGCTCCTCAACACTTGTCACCATTCCACTGTCAAACTCCAAAGGGAGTCGACTCTCATCCAGTCCATCAAAGATAAGCGCAAGCTTACAACTATATATCTTACATATTTTTGTTGTGTCCAGTTTCTCCAGTTCTGCATAAAATTTCTGTAGAAACTTATGCAGCCTGAACTTTATGTCTTTAAAGCAGTTCATCTTTCGGAATGGAAGCAGGAAAACACAGTCTATCTCCTGATTGGCTTCTCCTTCTGCCCAGTCCAGAATGAACCTGTGCACTGAGACAGTTTTTCCAATGCCGGCGATGCCTTTGGTCAGCACAATCTTTTTCTTATTTTTGTTCAGACTAAAAACATCATTGCATTTGATTGGCCTGGTTTGTGATTCATGGGGTTTTAAAGCTTTAGCAATCTGCAGAATCTCATGTTCTTGATTGACTTCTTCAAGATCTCCCTCCGTAATGAAGAGTTCTGTAAACACATCCTTGAGATCTGCTTCATTTTCATTTTTACACTCAAAAATGTGCTCTACTTTCTCCTTCATGTTCATTTTGTGAGTTTTCAAGAATTCCTGCAGCCAGAAATCATCTGTTATGAAAAATATAAATAAACAGGAAACGGTGTGAGCAAAACAACACCGCAAAATTAAACACAAAGGTTTTCACATTAGCATGATTATCATTCAAATCAACTGGTGCAAACATGTGGTATTTAAATGCATGGTACTATAAACGTTCTATTCAGTCCTGAGATCAATAAACATCAAACATGCTAAAATCATTTCTGATTCCGCTGTAAGGACGTGTTTAAGGTTAATTCACCTTGTTTTCTTGTGTGTTTCTCAGCTGCTTCTAATGATGTTTGCACTGTGAAGAGAGAGAAAAGACTTTATATTCATTAAAGTATCCTGAAAAAGGCTCTGCATCGTGTTTCACCCCTTCATTAAGCAGCACAACTATTAAACTATTAACTAAATCAGCATATTATAATGATTTCTTAGGATCATGTGAGACTAAAGACTGAGTAATGATGCTGGAAATTCAGCTGTGAAACTTTTCCTGTGATGGCAACATAGAAAAATGTATTTTTAAAAGATATTCAAATAGAAAAAAGCTATTTTAAATTGTAATATTTCACAATATGTTAACTATTTTTGATAAAATAAATGCAGCCTTGGTGAACATAAGAATCTGAATGTACATTTCTATGAATCTACGCTTCCTCTCGTTCTCTATTACCTTCAGTGTAGTTGTCCTGTAACTCTTCAGCCAGCCGGTTCTGGTTCATCTTCCTCAGGATGTTCAGTGTGATCCTCACAGCTTCTTCTGGTCCAAAGCGCTCCATCATTATACGCACTATATCAGTGACATCAGCATCCTCCAGTTTACCAGCTCCAATGGGTCCATCGTCTTTCAAGAGACTCCTAAATCTCTTCAGATCGTCCTTTTTCAGGTCATCTAGTGTATGAAGAAGCAGCTCAAAAACAGATGCCATCGGCCCTCATGCACTGTTGGGGAAAGACAAAAAATCTTTAAATAGTTGCACTTTTATAGCAGAGATCTATACATGTAAATAAATGTGTGTAATGAAAATACACTGTGATCAGATCAACTATTATGAAATTTTTTATAATTTTACAAAAGACTAATTCTTCAGGTTATTCAGTTTATGATTCTGTGCTCATTAGTTGATAATTTCACACACACACACACGCACACACACACGCACGCACACACACAATTATCTTTGATTACCAACTTCTAAAAATTATCAAAATGAATCCTTATAATTAAATAAAGGTTTTAATGTTGAATCAGTCGGTATATTCATGAGTAGAGAGTAGGAGGTCAAGTAAGTTTAGTTGAGAAACAGAGATTTTTAACAGCTTTAGTGTCTAGACCTAATGTTTGACAGAAATGAAAACAAGGCTGAAGGAAACTGTAGAAATACAGTTGTTCAGCTCACAAACATCTTTTTCAAAACCGTTTTGAAAGTTATAAGTTTTGAAAAAGCACAGTAAAGACTGTAATCTAACACTCAGAGCTTTGTTTCAGTCGTGTAATATTTAATAAAGGTCTATTAGTTAGTTGTGCTGCATGAATCTCCTGGAAACATGACACTTAAGCATTGTTTAGTTACTTAAAAAATATTTCCTAACTTACCTTGAAAAAGACAATATTTGTAGATGTTCCTCTAAAATGGCAACTTGCACTGATCTCCTCTACACTTCCGTGTTCTCATGAGGAACTGGGCGTTTCTCTGCAGATCTGGTTCTTCAGGAGTCAAACATGAGAAGAAACTGTGAGAGAAAAACATCCACTCAAGCAAATAAACACATATTTGTTAGTTTATGTTTCCATTGATGTATTTCCTATATCTTCCATTAATTCTGAGCACGACTGTATTTGTTAGTGTATGTTCATTGAATCTTTCCATCGACTTTTATATAGGCCTAATTAAAATATTTGTCTATAACTTACTTTCCTCCATAATTTCAAATGTAAACACTGATATTTTATTTTCCTTGTGTGGGAAAAAGAACAAATGCGAGCGTGCAGGACCGCTTCTTTCTGATTGCAAACAGAGTTTTACAGTGAATAAAGTAAAATTGCATTATTCGCGAGAGCTGTTAACACAGTAAAGCTGTATCAGACTGATTTCCTTGAAATAACACATGAAAAAGTAAGTATGAGTTCAATACACCTGAACTACTTGACGAATAAAATGAAGAAATTTTCTGACTTTTCATGAGATTCACTCAAACGTATTTGTCGTTTACTATTTAAACGACAAATAATGAAGATTTTAATGTAAATTCTTACTTTGTTTGCACAAGCCAAGTGGTGATGAAAAGAGAAAAGGTTTTCTAAACATAATGTTTTTTTCAGTCAGATCACTGCAGTTTTAAAGCCCATAGACACAATAAAGACAGTAAATACACAAATAGTACAGCAGTCAATAAACAAAAGTTGCTCATTGTTGGTTAATGCATTAACTAACATTAATGAGACCGTATGTATTGTAAAGTGTTCTTTATAGGTCTTTTGCACTTTATATCAAACATTTTACTTAATACATTTTTTTGTGTAGTTTTAGTGCATTAAAAAACACTTTTTTGTAATGATAGTGGTAAAAGCTTCAGCAATTATCGTGATATGAAAATCTGACATATCACATGCCTTTATCCAGAAACTACTAAATTGTCCCTCGCAGCAATTTTGATAAAGCAATTAAAATATATGAATGTGTAACCACTGCTGGTGTAAAAACATATAGCACAACATTCCCTCATGTTGAGATCGGTTTCCTTTTATAAAAGAGGATTTTCTTTTCCCCAAAAATGCTAGATAATGTTATCGCATTTGGATTTTTCCACCTTGTTAAAATGACCGACCTAAAAAAAAGATTGTTTATAAATCTTTAATTATGCTGTTATTGCCCAATATCAGATTCAGTCTTTTTTGTCAATTTTTCTTCTTTCAATTAGCACAGTTTTTGTATTTCTTTTTATTTGATTGATCACAGGCGTCACTGATCTGAGATTATGAGATTATGCAAAAGTCTTTCACAAATGCTAAAATGCTTTATGTCAAAATCAAACCTTTGCTGCAAAGTTTATTAAGGTCCCACTTTATATGAGGTGTCCTTAAGTACTTATGTAGGCCCACTAACATTTCAATTAATAATTTGATACAATGCAATTGTGTACATGCTTTTACATTGTATTTCTACTTTAAAAGAATACCTACATGTAATTACACCTAGAATTACTATTAAACCACCGAACCGGTCCAGAACCGAACCCGTATCTCATCTCAATAGGAGAAGTGTTTCGCAATACAATATGAATACAGGAAGTACTTTGTACACCTTTTTTTATATTTAAAATTTGTTTTGTGTGTGTATATTTATAATACTTTGTATTATATTATCTTTGCATAGAATTACAAAAAAAAAAAAAAACCTAGCTAATGCTACAGGTTAAAAACTAGGTAGCTAATGTTGACATCTTTCTCTCTTCTGACTGCCGTCATCAATCTCTCTTTTTTTTCCTCTGTGTGAAAGACAGTTGTGGAGTTTTTCTTCTGCTGTTTGAGCAAATGGGAACAAAATATATATATTTAATGAATTCTCTCATTCACCGCAATAGAAGTTCACCCGACTATGGTCTTTTGAAAAAACCCGGACATGTGTCAAATGTGCTTCCGCTTTCATTCAGAGCGCTTTTACATCAATATAATCCCCATAATAACATAGGCTACTGTAGATGTAACCTTTCACAATATTCACCCGTGTTATATTTGATAACCTCTCCTTATGCCATCTACACTTTTAATAACACACAATCAACAACTGAAATCAAAGACCCATCGAGTGATTGTTTAAAAAAAACAGTTTATATGGACATTCAGATACAAATTACATCACAAATGGAATCAGAATATGTAGAGAGAGAGAAATAGTTCAACTCAAAAACACGGTTACACTGTAAACCAAAGGAGAGTATGTGGAACAGGTATCATATTCATAAGGTGCGAGAATGGAGAATAAAAGAGACGCCATCTTTACTCCTTTACTGCACGAATGGAGGGGATTTCTAACTTCTCACTCCATCATCAGAAGACAAACGTCATGCAAGAATTCAGTCGAAGATCTCCGAGCCGTCGGCGTGAGGGACAGAGAGAGAGAAACTAGCAAATCCGCCGTGTCGTTTCCAAAAGCATCTTTAAAAGCCAGAAGATCAGAATGTCGGTACTGAGATATTTCAATCTCTTATAATACTGTGTAAAGTGTATGCATAGACTGCAAGTACCATTTAAACATAAAAAAAAAACTAAAGAAAGCTGTCTGGTTTAGTGTTCAGACTGTGGTCAGTTTTTCATTCTCTTAGTGTCAATGAAACTCAACCCCACACACACACACACACACACACGACAGCTGAAGAGAAATGAACTCCGAAATTTAAAATGGCAAAATGTTTTCAGTCCTGGACCCGATTACACTTACATGCACCTAGAATCTACAGTCCTGCAAAACAAAAGAAGAAACACATGTGTTTTCACAGATAAAGAAACCGCTGTGGATTCTGCAATTCCATCTCCAGCCATTCGGAAATAATTAACGAGCCACTTCAAACAATATCAAAAACCTATTGATAAAAAAAAAAGAAAAAAAAGAAACCAAACAATAGAATTACAAATATGTTTACACACACACACACAAATCAAAAATGTGCTTGACTCTTCTTTGGAACCAAAATTCAAAGAAAGCAAAATACCAATATAAGCTACTAAAGGGAAAGAGACACACTCTGCAAGACAAAAAAAAAAAAAAAAAAAAATACTATGTAGTTTTCCTTTAAAAACAGACATTTTTTAATCCGCTTCTCAGAAAGTTGGGC